CTATAGGAGATGGACAAAAGGAAGCAGACTGTGAGGTCTTGTATCTGACATATGGTCTCTTGGCTCTCTCTGCCCCTGCAGGAGTACCCAGAGGCTCGGTGGACTCAGAAGGTGGGTTGCTGCTGAGGTCAGAGTCAAGCTGTTCTACCTCAGGAAGCAGGATCACTGAAGGGTGCGGCTGGGGGACCATAAAGTAGTTTTGGAAGCATAGAGACTAGACCAAACACAGCTTTCATTTATGGGAACATTGATTCATTCTTTGATACAATGAGTACTTATTGTATGTGTCCATGAGAGGCCAGGCATACAAAGATGAATAAGATATGGTTCTTCCTCCAGGGGCTTCAATGTCTATTGAGGAAGAGAGAGAAATTAACAAGCCATTGGAGTAAATACCATAAAATATATTTGCCGCTGAACTTAGATGACCCTTCTGTAATCAACATATCATAGGAAGATGTTGATTTTTGACAACTCAGTAACCATTCCACCTTGATTTCCCTTTGAAGGATTCTGCTGAGTTGTTAAATCTAGGTTCCCTGACCCCTTACTCACCAAGAAACAGCCACCTGACCCAAGCTGGAACAATGTTCACTCCCTGGAGTGAAGAAAGAAGGTGGAAAGATGGAGAAATGGTGGAAGAGCATTCATTCTGGGCAGGGCATTGACAACACTGTTGAATGTTCTAGCCCTACCCATCCCTACAGGACCCATTTTTACCAATTTCTGGTCCATCCTGAGAGAAGACAGAAATCCTCCCAATAAATTCCCACCATTAAACAATGAACAGACAACAAACATTGCTTTGGTGAGATATGGGGAGTTGAAGACTGAAAGCAGGGAGACCAGTTAGTGGCCATTGCAATAAACCAGGTGAGTATGGCAAGAGACTGAACTCCACTACTGGAGAGATGGGTGAAGGGAAGACAGATTCCAGAATCAGAAGAGACAGAGCTAGCTGGGACTTGGTGACTACTGGATGGAGAAAGCCAAGAATATAGAAGAGTAAGATGAGTGGTTTTTCAGAAACAAAACAGGGCAGCTCAGCTCCCCTCATTTCCTTTCTGTTGGTCTAGAAGTTATGTTCTCACTTGGCCTTGATTTTGGCAGCATTTTCTTTCTTGCTAAGGCTAATTTCCTATACCTGTACCTTCCCAGCCCTGAGATGTACACATCACTTCCTCCTAAAAAATTATCTCCATTATCTAGGAAACTTGGCAGGGATACCAAATCCTCTTTTCAGCTTGTGTCCTAGAGCCCAGGATATATGTTCAAGTAGATTCTTGGAAATAGTCCTGGATAGCACATAGTACTCCAACATCAACAAGCACACTTGAATGATGACAGTGTGTCACAGGATGCTCACTAAGTTTGTGATTGCATTTACATGATCAACTACATGACCACAGCCCACGCAGTTCACACAACCTCACCACACCGTCCCTATAGGGATTCTCAGTGTGCACTGTGCTATCAGCTCTGCTATGGAGGAAAGGTGCTCAAGTACTTGTGGTCATGTGGAAAGAATTCAGTAGCACTTGAGCATGCAGAGCTGGACCTGATGGATTGTGCTCTTTACTCAAAAGGCGCACACAGGGCACAAACAGACAGCAACCTCTATGAGTCAGAGCCCACTTGGCCTACTTGTCCTTTGCACCATGTCTTTTGAACCAATAAATACAGTAACACCCATAACTGCAATGTTTTATCTGAAGGAAAATAAGCCAGTAGCAAAGTTGTGCAAGACACTGAACAAGCATCTATAAGAACCAAGGACTCCACCCTCCCTCAAAAGCCCCTAAACTCTGAATTTGGGGAGCTCACCTTTGAGATAGAAAAAATTGTTAATTGATAATGGCTTTGGTTGAGTCGTTCTCTAGTTTCTCATGCTAGGAGATACTCTGGAACATGGGTACTTAAAAATATATTTTAACAAACAAATTCGTAATACTAGAATGTTTCCTGGGTGATCTTTTGAAAGATTAAAAAAAAGTATTGATATGTTCTGGCTGGGATCATTGGCTCACACCTGTAATCCCAGCACTTTGGAAGGCTGAGGCAGGCAGATCATGAGGTCAGCAGATTGAGACTATCCTGGCTAATAAGGTGAAACTCCATCTCTACTAAAAATGCAAAAAATTAGCCAGGTGTGGTGGCATGCGCCTGTCATCCCAGCTACTCAGGAGGCTGAGGCAGGAGAATCGCTTGAACCCAGGAGGTAGAGGTTGCAGTGAGCCAAGATCGCGACACTGCGCTCCAGCTTGGGTGACAGAGAGAGATTTCATCTCAAAAAAAAAAAAAAAAAAAAAGAAATGTATTGATATGTTCTAATAGTTTTTGGAATCCCTGCATTTTAAAAATCATGTGATTGAATAATCCCATTAGGTAGGGTTGTGCAAATAAACAATATGCTATGGACAGTCAGGTTGTAAAGGAAATCTTTTTTTTTCTGAGATGGAGTCTCACTGGGTGTGATCTTGGCTCACTGCAACCTCCACCTCCCAGGTTCAAGTGATTCTCCTGTCTAACCCTCCTGGGATGACAGGCGCACACCGCTATGCCTGGCTAATTTTTTTGTATTTTCAGCAGAGATGGGGATTCACCATGTTCCCCAGGCACGTCTCAAACTCCTGAGCTCAGGCAATCCACGTGCCTGGGCCTCCCAAAGTGTTAGGATTACAGGCATGAGCCGCCGCGCCTGGCCAGGAAATCTTAACATATAATAGAAGAAGGAGAAACAAAAAGGGCTCACAATTTATCCCCTCACTTTTTGCTAGGTGATTAGATCACTGTATTTGTTACAGCTTGATCACCTGTATTTTATTTCAAGTAAATTTTCTTCAGTTTCTTTGCCAGCAAACTATACTGGATAGAAATGCCTCAAAATCAATTTATCCTGCTTCACCAGTTTTATGCATTTTAGACTTAAGGAAACAACAATTAGAATATTTTCAATGATGAAAAGAACTCCATTAAGCTGCCACAAATGTCAAAAGTTCCTGGCTATGCTAACACTTATGTAATTGTTCTGGAAACCCCACGCGCCGGAATAGACCTACAACACCAGGCATGACTCACTGAATATTTCTAAGCACACACTCTCTCTAAAATGATCTCCAGTTGGGATTTACTTTTTCAAAGAAAAAAAAAATAAAAGACAAAATATGGTACATCAAATCCCAAAGTTTTTTCTGTGATTTTTTTTTTTTTTTTGGAAAAATACTGTTGCCTCACACAAGAGCATTAGAAGATGCTGCTGTTTTCATTAATAAAGCAACCAGATGGGCAAGCATTAAAACAGGCTGAAACTTTGAAATTCTTCCTAAAAAAAAAAAAAAAATAAGAGAGAATGTGTGGGTTCTCAAATTTCCAAATGGTCTTCATTGCCTCTTATGATTTTATTTCCAAGTTTGTTTTTTAAAACTCGTGGCTGGCAGTATATGACTAGTGTCCTAATCCCCTGAGCAATGTTAAGGAAAATTACACATGCCATAAAATGCTAATAAGCACAGGAAGGTTTGGGACCACACCACCAAGGCTCATTTGTAGCATATATGCCAATAGCTTTTCCTAAATATCTTCTGTAAGTCCAAATGCTTGGGAGAAATTTACCAAAGTATATGGCATAACCTGCATCCCCAAAAGCTGATGTTAGGCGCTACTTTCAATACCAAAGTAATGCATTTTTCTTTTTTTGAGACTGGGTCTCATTCTATCACCCATGGTGGAGTGCAGTGGTGTGTTCTAGGCTCACTGCAACCTCCACCTCCCAGGTTCAAGTGATTCTCATGCCTCAGCCTCCCAAGTAGCTGGAATTACAGGTGCCCGCCACCATGCCTGGCTAATTTTGTATTTTTATTAGAGACATGGTTTCACCATGTTGGTCAGGCTGGTCTCAAACTCCTTCCTAACCTCAGATGATCTACCCACCTCGGCCTCCCAAAGGGCTGGGATTACAGGCATGAGCCATCGCACCCAGCCATGCATTTTTCACTAGCAATATTCAGAATGGAGTTTAGGAATGCAAACAATGGCAAGCCAAACCAGAAGTGGCAAGGCAGTTCTGCCAGGCAGTGAAACAGGTCCTAGATGGGAATTTGCATCTAGGCAGTAACAGGGGATCTTAGCGCTTGGTTGTCAGTCTGTTTCCACCTGCAGAAAGGCAAAAAGGGCGAATCCAGCAAGCAATAACCATAAATGGACCAAGCAGCCTGGAGTGGGGCCCCAGGGCCAGGGAGGGGACTGAAGTTCCGGGAGGGACTGAGGTTCGGGGAAGGACTAATAAGAAAAGGCAAAATTCCAGTTATAGAGAAACTTAGAGGCAGAATGTCGAAGAAAAAAGCAAGGCAAAAGCCCAGTTATTTGAACTGGAATACAAGGTAGTGCCTGTGACAGGAATCAAGTGGCAACTTCACAGCAGGAGCTCAGAACAGAACCCAGAGCCTGGCTGACCTGATATTGAGTGACATGAGCTACTTACATTTCCTCTAAGAGCAGACTTGGGCCCAGCACCTGGGTAGGACTGAGCTGCAGGTGACTCTCTGTGGCCCCCACTGGGGATTGAACCTAAATTCAGGGGAAGTCGCCAGGCAGAACGGCCAACACCACTCACACCAAAGTCCTCCTGGCTTCAAACCCGTTTTTGTTGTTTTTCCCCACAACTTTATCCCATTTGGCAAGCTGTTCTTGTTATCTAGAATTCTCAAGCCCAAACTCCTCAGGCTGCTCATTCTTCAAGAGCAAGTTCAAAAAGCATCTTTTCTGGGCAGCACGTCCTGGTTCCTCTGGGTTCTAGGAATGCTTTACACATGTCTCCATACACGTGTACTACGCCTTGTCTTGTACTGCTTTAGTTCCGGCCTCTCTCCCTGCCTAGTCTTCACCCTTCTTGCCCAACAAGCCTCAGCATCTCTTGAGCCCAGCATAGTGTCAGTATAGAATAGGACCTTGATAAATGTTGATGATAAATAAATGAATGAAGTGACTGAGTGAACAAATGCTTAAGTGAAAATCATTTATTGAAAATTCATTTACTAAATGAAAATCCATCAATCAATAAGCAGGTTAATCAATACCATAGATCGAACATGGAATACAAAATAATAACAGTAGCCAACATGTATGTATCACTAACTGTCCCAGGCCCTGTGCTCAGTCCTTTACATAGATTATCTTCTTTCATCTTCACAACCCAAGAGGTGAATGCTATTTTAACACCCATTTTACAGATGAGACAATACTGGCAACATATTAGAATCTTTAAGAACTCTGTCTGATCTGGGATTTGTTGGCTCTACTTAGCAATAAGATCCCTCACTTCTGGGGTCTTTCACTTGCCACAAGGGATATAGTGGTTGTTAAGGGGTGATGGTAAGGATGCTATCACACTTCACTGATGTCCCATTCAATCCTATTGCCAGGTCCCATGCAATATTTGCCTTTTCCCTCCTGATGGGAGAGGCCACACTAGAATGGGCCAGAGGCCTCTTCATTCTCCTTAGAGCTCTTTACCCTGCTAGCCTCAGGGTGTGGGATGTGGTAGAAACTGAAGTGAAATTATAAGGAATATGTGTATTCACCTGATATTTGCCTATCTACCGCTTTCCAAAGACCACACAAAGTACTTCATGTATCTTATCCTCTAATCCTTACTTTACCCTGTGAGGAAGTGTCTTTATTGCCTAACTCCAGAGGTTTAGCAACTTGCCTAGCAACTTCCCAGAAGCTGGAAGCAGAGCCAGGATTTGAACTGAGTGCCATCTGGCTCCAGTTTGATGCAATTCAACAAATACCCACCAAGCACCTCCTCATGGACATACACATGCCTTTCCCACACAGTATATTGCCACCAGCACCCCTTAGTGTTGAGGACATGGCCATAATCATCTTCTCTGTTGTTCAGGATCTCCTTTAAAAGCATGATTTTAATGGCAACTTTTTGGTGTGCTTATTGGAAAAAGTCACAAAGATCCCATTCATTGGTGTAAAACCTTTGGCTTCACTTTTAGGAACAGACGCTACATAGGATGCTGGGTAAGATACACAGAGCCTCCACTTGGAAAATCCAGAATCCTCCTGACTTCTGCTGTGTTCTTTCTCTTTAGCAACTCATATGCTTATGTTTACATGTGGCCATTTTTGTTGACCTGTTCATGAAGGACGATAATCTGTGAAATGATGCACCAGCCTGACAGACGGACGGTCCCAGAGTCCACACCCTGTGCTGTTTGCTTTGTGAAATTCCAGACTGTTTAGTCTGCTCTATCTCATCCTAATAACTCCAGATTCCACTTTTCTTAATGACTTTCCCCTCCTTAAATGCCTACAGAGTTATCTTTGAAGAAGGGGAAAAAGAATAGATGAATCATTTGCAGGAAACGGGGGGAGAGACGTGTGGTTGGAATGGCAGATGGCTGAGCGTGTGGGCACATAGCTGTCTCTGTTGTTCCTTCCACCACCCTGTGGAAACGAGTCCTTTGGAAGTGTACATTCATTCCAAGGTGGGGGCTGTGCCCGCTTTCAGGTACTAACACGTAAATCCACATCCGCTCAGAGTCATCTTAGACATCCAAACTCCAGGCTCAAACCCAGACTGGACTGTGTATTCTCTCCTTGAAGTTTTGGCATTAGACCTTCTAAAGATAAAGTGATAAACTACTTTCAATTAGTGGCAGCAGAATTTGTCACACTGTCTCCCTTCTCCTGCAGGATATGAAGTATCTGAATATTCTTCATGTGCCATAGTGCAAGCTGCCTGACCTCATAAGGGACTAGCAAATGCCTAGAGGGAAGAGAGAGGAGGGAGAATGTACATTCAGATAAAAATACTGGTTAAGCAGGTAAACACTTGATTGTTCTTACTGCGGCTTTTTGTGGTGAGGGTGTGGAAAGGACATAAAGATACTACAACCTCAGGGACAAGGGCTCATGTGTAGCTCCTCAAAGTTAACTTCCTGCTCATTATATGGAGATGACATTAACTGGTCATTTCACCTAAATAACTGAAGTAAGTTTCTAGAATCCAAGAGTACATAAAGTTTAAGACTGACTTTTTCGGAAGGCTTCATTTAGCCCTTCTGTTACTTCTATGCAAATTTCCAAATGTCATCTGGATGTGTATGCTAGGATAACCATTTGTTATTATTTTATTTTTAGATGTATGAAGCTTGTTTTATCAAGACTCTCTTTCATTGCGTTTTTGTTCCTACTTCCATCACCACCATCTGCCCCCCTTCCCTTAGACCTATACCACAGCACATGCATGTGCAGAAAGATTGGAACTTGTCATTTTTTTCCTTAGTACAATAGGTGTTTTGGTAAAATATGCATCTAGAAGTTGAGATTCGTGTTTTAGCACATATTAGTCTACATCATTTGGAAACAAAGCCTTGTGGTTAAGAGCGTTTTTTATTAATGGACACTCGTTAAAAATCAACTTTAATAATAAACATCATCTGATTAAGCATGAGTAAGGTCAGTCCAGAAATGGATCTGAGTAATCATAAAAATATTTCAGCAATCATAAATCTTGTTAATAATAGAATTTTCACCTCCATATCTATTATGATTTGGTTTGGTGACTCTTTTACTGAAAGTCATTCATATTAATCTCCACCAAAGCACTAATTATTCATGGATTTCTTAAAAGACTTGAAAATTATTCTTTACAATTTTACATCATGACTATACCAGAACAATTTTTGTGTCTCTCAAGATTCCCCAGCCTCACCTGACCCTCAAGCCTTAGCCTCTTCTTGAATGGACATCTGGGGGTTTGCTGTGTCAGCCTCCTGGGGAAGAAGCTGGGGCTTTGGGAAGATCACATCTCACCTGTTGCAACAGGAACCTCAGTGGCTCCAGGACATGGATCTCACCTGATTGGACTCTGTGCATCCTACTTTATGGCTGCTCTCCTCCCACCTCTTCCAGGCAGTTTAGTGGGATGTGGAATCTGGCTTACCCAACAGCTCCCTTAAGTCACTGAGTTAAAATTTGAATCAAAGGATGAGAGGTCAAAAAGATAAATTCCTTTTTCTCCCCTCATTGATCCTCCCCCCCCCACCTGATGAATTGTTTAAAGGTGATGTGCAGGACCCAGCAACCAGCTTTGTTCTTTGTGAAGTTATGTCCAGTTCCTTAACACATCATCTAGTATTTGCATTCCTTCCTTTCCTGCCTCACCTTTTTCTCCCTCCCTTTTATGTCCCTGAAATTGCACCACCCAACAAAATAGACTTAGCAAGTAATCTTTGCCTCAGTTTTATTTTCTAGAGAATTTGGCAAAGGCAATGAGTTTAAAAAAAATCTCAAGTTATATCTTCAATTTGGCCTACAAATTTGACCTAAAGTCTATTTTCTTCTAAATAAGAAGGAAAAATGGAGTTTCATAATCCCCTTAAGATTAATAAGAATTGCTCCAATGAAGTATGCATGGGTTGAGAACATGTTCTCTAAACCTCATCTAACTGTCTTGTGAATTTAACCTCACCACAATATGATTGGATGCTAGCAGTTATATTTCTGGATTGGTTGCTTCTGCCCAGTTTGGTATGATAGCTTTTCCTATATACATCCAACCTACAGGTATTTGCAAACCTACTTCCTGATCTCCACCTTATTATTGTTGTTGCTATCTTCATCATCTGTGAGCCCCTACCACCCATTTTGTTTTCAGTGAATTCCAGATATAACCTGAGATAAAGCCAGTTCAAATAAATATTCAATATACCTTTGATTCAGGATATTCTGTTTTGTGTAAAATATGTATCTTTTAATCAGCAGCTAAAGAATATCAGCTGCCAAAAGCAATATGGTATTTGGGAATTGTAAACAGGCACATTAAACCATTCCCATTCTGATAAAGAAAGAAGCAAGGGACTTTTCCACTTCTTTATTTAATAAGCAAGATAATAAGGTAATAATTGCTCCTCCCCCCTTCTCCCCCTCCTTCTCCTTCTCCTCTTACTCCTTCTCCTCCTCCTTCCTTCTTCTTCAAAACAGGGTTGGCTGAGTGTGATGGCTCATGCCTGTAATCCCACCGCTTTGGTAGGCCAAGGCAGGTGGATCACTTGAGGTCAGGATTTTGAGACCAGCCTGGCCAACATGGTGAAACTCCCGTCTCTACTAAAAATATAAAAATGAGCCAGGCATGGTGGTGGGCACCTGTAATTCCAGCTACTTGGGAGGCTGGGGCATGAGAATTACTTGAACCCGGGAGGCAGAGGTTGCAGTGAGCCAAGGTTGCACCTGCCCTCCAATCTGAGTGACAGAGTGAGACCTTGTCTCAAAAAAAAAAAAAAAGAGACATGGTCTTACTCTGTCTCCTAGGCTAGAGCACAGTGACCTGATAATAGCTGACTGTGACCTCAAACTCCTGAGCTCAAGTGATCCTCCCACTTCAGCCTCCTGAGTAGTTAGGAATTACAGGTGCCCGTGACACCTGGCTATTTTTTTATTCTTTATTTTTGTAGAGATAGGGTCTCACTATGTTGCCCAGGCTGGTCTTGAACCCTGAGTGTCAAGTGATCCTCCCACCCTGGCCTCCCAAAGCACTGGAATTACAGGTGTGAGCCACTATGCCCGGCCCAGGCAAGATAGTATCTTCCTGTGGAGGGGCTGGGATAAGGATAAAGGGTGTTGAATATTTAATAGTATCACTCTGTCTTCTCTGCTCATGCAGAAGGCAGGGACTGTGGTGCTAGATGAGTATATGAAGGCTGTTATTTAATGAGTTAAAATTTATCAGAGAGTGGCTGGGCATGGTGGCTCACACCTGTAATCCCAGCCCTTTGGGTGGCCGAGGTGGGCAGATAACCTGAGGTCAGGAGTTTGAGATAAACCTGACCAACGTGGAGAAACCCCATCTCTACTAAAAATACAAAATTAGATGGGTGTGGTGGCAAATGCCTGTAATCCCAGCTACTCAGGAGGCTGAGGCAGGAGAATCACTTGAACCCAGGAGGCAGAGGTTGCCATGAGCCAAATTCATATAATTTTACTCCAGCCTTCGGCAATAAGAGTGAAACTCCATCTCAAAAAAGTAAAAAATAAATAAATAAATAATTATCAGAGAGTTTGCATGGATAATCTATTGCTGAAACAGAGCTTAAGAAAAGCAACTCTCCTGGGATTAAAATAAAACAAATAAAACCCAGGACTCTTTGACCCTAACTGGGCCTAAGGAATAAGGACAGTTCCCATTACAATTTGAAATGAAAAGTGAGGTGAGAAGGAAAAATCAGGCATCGATGAGTTATGTTTCAAAACGTGTTTTAGGATTAAGTGGCTCTACTTAAGTTTATTTAGCTAGTGAACTCAAATACCATGTCAATCATGAGTCCAAATTTTTGTTTAATTAAGAAATTTTTTTTTTTAATTTGAGCTCATGATTGACAAATCGTATTTGAGTTCACTAGCTAAAATGAACTTAACATTATGGTCGCAAAATAAGGTATGAAAATAAAAAAGGATCAATAGTCTACTCAAAGAATGAGTAAAGGATATGAATAGACAGTTCATAGAAAAGGAAATTCAAACAGCCTTTAAACATACAAAAATATGCTCAAATTGACTTTTAGTAAGAGAAACGCAAATTAAAGTTACCAATATTCATTCCTCAGGGTGGCAAATGTTTGAGAGCACATTGTGGCAGCTACAGTATGGAGAATTACATTACTGGTGGGAATGCAAATTAGTACAATCTCTGAAGGGGACATTTGGGCGATAATTATCAAAATTATAAATTCATATACTTTTACCAAACAATTCCATATTTAAGAATTTATCTTACAGATATATTCACACACAAGCTGGATGAATGTATAAAACATAATCATTTCAGTCATTGCTTGCAATAGCAAAAAGATTATGAACAATCTCAATATTTATCAATAGAATGGCTAACTAAATAAATTATGCTATGTCCATGCAATAGAATACTATGTAGTTATTAAAAATGAGTCTGCTACAATTGCATAACAATAATAAATGCATATCCTTGTACCTGCATAGACTCCTCTGAGAAAATACACAAAATACTAGTTTAAAGTGGTTAGCACTAGGGAGAGCAACTGGGTGGCTAGGAGAGACTAACTTACTCTAAGCCATATCCTTCCTTTTATATTTTGTTCCATGCGCAAATGTCACCTGTCCAAAAATAAGTCAACAATGGCTTTTATTTTTTTGAGACGGAGTCTCGCTCTGTTGCCCAGGCTGGAGTGCAGTGGTGCAATCTTGGCTCACTGCAACCTCCGCCTCCTAGGTTCAGGCAATTCTCCTGCCTCAGCCTCCCAAGTAGCTGGGACTACAGACACGTGCCGCCACACTGGGCTAATTTTTTGTATTTTTAGTAGAGGTGGGGTTTCACTGTGTTAGCCAGGATGGTCTCGATCTCCTGACCTCGTGATCTGCCTGCCTTGGCCTCCCAAAGTGCCAGGATTATAGGCGTGAGCCACCGAGCCCAGCCAACAATGGCTTATTTTTTAAGAGAAGAAAAAAAACAGAATAATATGTGCAGACATTTTAAAAGGGGCTTTCATCTAATTTGTGAGTAAACTATGCTGTGTAGTTCCCAGTCACTTGGCAACAGCACAGACTTTTAAAAATATATGCAAATAAGTCACCTTTAAAGACTAAATCAGAAATTAGAATTATCAAATGGCTGCCCACACTACTTTATTAATAAATGAATAAATCTTCATTCATTTCCCTTTATAACTGACTCTTGTCAGCATAGCCATGGTTTGTTTCTAGTTGTTTTCCTTGAGCTCTTTGCAGTAAAGGAATCTAACAAGTAAATGAAAGAGCGTATGCAAAAGCAGGCTGTGATATTGTGAGATTTAAACTGTCCTTAAAATAAGAACTAATTTGTGTAAGGATTTAAAAGGCTTATTCTTCTGTACTTTTTAATCTCCTAATTGCTTTGTGACAACTTTGCCAGTACGTTTTCCAAGAAAATGCATGTTAAGAGTGAACAAATGAATCAGAATAATTTACTGTACTAGAGAAAACATTTCCATTTGAAAGAGCTAATCATTCATTACTTACGTAAATGTACTTTAGAAAGGAGCATATATTATCTTCTCCTTATGTATTCCTGATATGTCTTCTTATTATATCACTCAATAACCATTTGGTTTTCATATGTAAAATGAAGTACTTTGGGTTTCCTAATTGTAAGTTCAAATCATCCCATTCCAGCTGGAAGGACTCCACGTCATTGAACACCACCATCCTTTTGAATCCTGAAAGTTGATACTGTTCTAAAAAAAGCACTGAATGCTACCCCTCATGACTTCTTCATTAGGTCACAGTCCTACCTGTTAGTTTCTTGAGGGTAGTGTCCCTATGTGATTTATCTTTTTATCCCTCGGAATATCTTATACCAACTCAGCACATATAGAGAGCATGGATTATTTTTTTTTAAGGTAGTAGACACAGTCATTTTGGCAAAACTTAAAGCAGTTTCCATCTGTCACACACCCTGTGATAGATATCAGTGATGCTTTCCCTAAAACAGGAAAGAATTCTAATGTGGTCCAGGGTGCTAAATGGAGACCTAGTATGGAAGGGGCCCAGCAGCAGATAGAAAAGGTGTGACTACGTGCCTCTTGCTACAAGTGCAGACTCCAGACCCCAAAGGGTAAAACACAACCTGAAAGCATGTAGACGACTGTGTATAACTCCTTTAAATATGCCCCCCTAGCTCCATCTCAGCCATAGAAATGATAAGAGCATCATTCCTTACACTTTTGTTTGTAATGGGAAACAATGGGGAAATGGGCCTTTCTTTATAAAATCTCATGTTACAGAACACTGTAACCAAAATAGGCTGTAATGGCATTCTCATCCTGAAGGCTATGGGCCCTTATATTGGAAATGCCACTTCCTGGGTGGTGAGTACTTGGAATTTCTGCAGAAGCTTCCCTCTAAAGAGTATTTCTGATGCTCTTACTCACTCAACTTTCAACTTTTCTGTAGGTTTGAAATTTTTATAATGAACTGTTATTGGGGAAAAGCAGCATCCCTCCCCGCACTACCCCACAGTAATTACTGCCGCTGGCATTTGGAATAACACTTCCCTCTCTTTCGTGGTTACAATTGCAAGCATCTCTCAGTATCTCCCTGTGTGAGGTAAGATAAGTATTCTGTCATCTTCTATTAATAGGGAGGGATTCTGAGTCACAGGAGAGCTAAGTGATTTTTCTAGCTGCAGAAATAGGAGGAATAAAACTAAGCAGGCTGATGAATACATTATTTTAGGAAGAGGACAATTGCGGTGGTGCTGCATCCTTTTTCTGGACAATTGCAATTGCTTCCTAATTGGTTTTCCTGCCCCCAGTTTCTCTCTCCCTTCCAGTCTACTCGCCCGCTTTGTTACAGAATTATATCCTGAAATCATGTCACACCCCTGTATAAATATCTATGATGACTTCACCTAAAGAAAAATTCAAAACTTCCTATCATGACATCTAAAGCCCATTTCCATCTGGCACTACACTACCTTTCCTGTGTTCTCTGCCAGTCTTTGCCTTCCATACCGTTCATCTGCACTGCACTGGTCACACATGTCCATCCTTCCAAATCTCATCTCGTGTCATCTTTCTTTCTTTCCCAGAGTGCCAGTCTTCTCCTATCCCACAGGATGGGGGAGAATAAGAAATCTGCTTCCTGGGGATCTAACTCAGATGCTGCCTCCCCTGGGACACTTCCCAGCACCACGTCTACCTTCTGCCTCCCGCACTGAGGCAGATGAACCATTTCCTCTTCTTGTTCCCATAGCACTTCCTTTATACTGCAAGGACCACATTTGTTACATCACATTCTAGCTACCTGGACACATGTCTAACCTCCCCAATTAGTCGTTTTTTGTTTTGTTTTGTTTTTTTAATTCAGCAGGGCCCTAACTCTCACTCATTTTCACAAGCTCCAGCAGTAATTTCAGTTTTAGATACACAGTGGGTGCTCAATAAACACATGATGCTGCTACCAAGATAACTTCTGTTCTTTGTAATCTCCCAATTGCTTTGTAACAGTTTTCACCAGTAAATAACTCAGAGTGCATGCTAGTTCAAGAGTTACATTTGCAAGGGCAAGAAGATTAGTTATGCCTGACACAGCATTTTCCTGTTTCGAAGTTCTGGTGTGTGTGCCCAAAGAATACTACTTGGATTATATCTTTTTAGTTACTTCAAGAACATTTCTACAGTTGCTGAACAGACTAGACATGTGAGGAATCTGACTATCTGGAATGTCTCCTGAAGCTTCTCAAAGTTTGGTCCATCTGTATAAGCCACTGCTGGCTGCTGGACTACAGTATAGTTGCCTGAGCCCATCCCTAGATCTCCTGAGTAAGAGTCCCTGTGGGGTAGGCCAGGATATGGACTGACAGCAAATACCTCCAGGTGTTTCTAAACATTTCATTTCTAGACCCGCTGGTCTGGTTGGGAAGCTCTTGTGCTCATTGAAAACCTCTGCCTAGGTAAGGGTCTGTTGGGGGAATGACTGTTGTGAATGCTTCTAAACCAGTTGTTAGTCCAGGTCACATATCAGAATTCCCTAGGCAGCTTTTGAAAAATACCAATGTTGAAATCCACCTTAAATCAATTAAATCAGACTTACTGGTTATGGGACTTGGGCACCTATATTTTTTAAAAAGCTTTTCTTTTAAGCCAGTTTGGCTGTAGAGTACTTGTTAGATTCTTTTGATCAAAACCAGGGGTTAGTGGTTAGAGGTTCCAGATTTAAGTTACATTCCACACCACATACCATCTCACTCTCACTATAAAAGTAAATCTCACAGCAAATTTAATTAGATGTTTTAGCAGATGGGTACAGTCATACAAACTGGGAAAAGCACATTGCATGAAAGGGCCACACTGAAGGCAGCAGTGTTCTAAAGGTGAACCTGCAGGTCATGCCATCTCATGGGGGCAGGATCCTAGGCTCAGTGCTAGAAGGTGCACCGTGACACAGACAGTTGAGCTGTCTGCTCTCTCTTGTATCTTGGTCATGCAACGTCCATAGGTCCTGCCGCACCTCCTCTACCACGTATTGTAAGTGTACCAATTTCAAGAACAGAAATAATTTGTTTTTCATATCCTTTATGCTAAATTTAAAAACCCTCAGGTCATCAAGCTGATTCACATTAAAGAATGCCAGCTAATTATACCTACCTAAAGCATTGGAGTACTACAGCTGGTTACATTGAATTACTTAAAAGTAAATTACTGGAGCTTTGGGACAGCTGAATTCATGGAGGTTCCTGGAGTGTGGTGCACCTGGAAAGGGCATGGAAACTGAAGCCCCTTCCCACATGCCTTGCCCTGTACATCTCTTCATCTGTATTCTTTGTAATAGTCTTTATAATCAGCTGATAAATGGGAATACCCTCTTGGCCTTTAAATTCCAATGGAAACAGCCATAAAGTGGAATAATATGTACCTGAAAAACCCTAGTCAGTATACTGCATCATCGAACTTAATTGGTTAAAGCAAACTTATTATGTAATAACACCAGAGTCCTAGGAGAAAAAAAAATGCATGAGATTATTACATAAAGTGCTTAATACAATGCCTCACAGAAAGTTGCTTCTAAATAAATAATTACAAGGAAAATATAAAAGTTGGAGAATGCAATAATGTCGATGTTAAACTAAAATTTAAAAGATTTAACAGTTGAATACACATCACCACCCTAATCAAGATATAGAACATTCCCCTCACTCCAAAAAGGTCCCCCATTACCCTTTCCAACAAATTACCTGTCTCTTCAGGACAACCACGTGTAGGCAGCATAATGACCTCCCAGATATCCATGCCGTAATGTCTGGAACCTGTGAATATGTTACCTTACATTGCAAAGGAGACTTTGAAGACCTTGAGATGGGTAGACTATCCTGGATTACCTAGGTGGGCCCAGTGTAACCTTAAACTTAGTCCTTAAAGTTAGAAGAGAAAGACAAAAAGCAGGTCAGAGAGATACAGTGGTAGAACAAGCAACAGAGATTTGAGGCACGAAAACCACGTGACCCGCTGTTGTTGGCTTTGAAGACAGAGGAAGGTAGGCACATGCCAAGGAACACAGGTGGCCTCTAGAAATTGGGAACACAGCAAGCAGACAGGGTCCTACACCCATAAGGACTAAATTCAGCCAACAATCTGAATCATCAAGGAAACAGGTTTTCCCCTAGAGCCTCCAAAAAGAAAAGCAGTACTGCTGACACCTTGGGTTCAGCCCAGTGAGACTCCTTTGGCACTTACAACCTACAGAGCTGAAAAATAATAAATTTGTGTTAAGGCAAAAACAAAAGTATATTACCAAACAGAAAATATAACAAAAGGACAGTGAAATCTCATCATAAAGCCTTTTTCCCTGGGAAACTGGTTAGGCAGGGGCATGACCTAGCAAGGGTTTACACTTTTGAGGTTTGGGTAAGGAATCTAAAACTTTTGGTGGTTCCAGAAAAGACTGATGGATTTATACCAAAGGAAATATACTTATCAGATGTTTAATAAAAATAATCTTGGAATCATGTATGTGCAAAAATTAATATAGAAACTGTGCTAAGCAGGTGTCTGTTTACTCAAGCCTCGGTATGCTTCTACAGTGTGGCTTCTAGCACAGCCTTTCTCATCCATCCATGAATGGAAGTTTCCTTCCAGTCATGGGAGAGTGGCTCTCATGCCCAGCCCTGACCCTCTCCTCTTCCCCCTCCCTGTATTCTGAAATGCTTCTGCTGGGCATGAAGTCGGAAGGAGAAAGGAAATTCCCAGAGAATGAGACTTCTTATATGCAGGACTCATAATACAAATATGTGTTTCTTTCAGTTGCCTTGAACCCAGATCACTGAGTGATGATGGCTATGTGGCTCAGGCTAGTAGACTTCCAATTCCCCTCTTGTACAACATGCAGTCCATAGGATCAGCTATGAGCCAGCATCAATGGAGCAGGGAAAGTGCCTGCTACTTCAGCAGGTGAGTCCTAGAGTGATGGGGAACCCCTGGTATGCAGTGTGTTTTCACTGTCCCCAAACTCTCCAGGTATCTTGGCCCATTGAGAAACCTCAATTTCTAGGCTGCTTACACCAGCAACTAAGAGGGGCCATAAAGCAATTGATTCTGTTCTTTGAAGCTTTTTATAAAAATTTGTATGGATTTTTTTTCTCTTCCTGAGAACTAATTAACACTGTAATGTTTTTTGTTATATGATCCCTTTTCAGCAAGGTCAGTAAACATTTATTAAGGGTTGTGGTTGAGCGTGGTGGCTTACATCTGTAATCCCAGCACTTTGGGAGGCTGGTGGATCACTTGAGACTAGGAGTTCAAGACCAGCCTGGGCAACACAGCGAAACCCCGTCTCTACTAAAAATACAAAAATTAGCTGGGCATGGTGGTGCATGTAATCCCAGCTACTCGAGAGCCTGAGGCACAAGAATCGCATGAACCTGTGACGTAGAGGTTGCAGTGAGCCAAGATCGTGCCACTGTACTCCAGCTTGACGACAGAGTAAGACTCTGTCGAAAAAAAAAAAAAAAAAAAAAAAAGAATTGTGTGTGTGTGTGTGTGTGTGTGTGTATGCAACAATAAAAACGGATAGTAGTAGTCAATGAGTTAATTGTTTTAGGACTGTTTCTACCCCCTTTACAAATATAAATCATTGATTGCAATAGCTCTGTGAAAGAGTATTCCCATTTTACAGATAAGGAAACTGAGACTTGGAAAGATGAAATGGTTTCCCTCAGAGTCATAAGGCCAGAAAGTAGGTAAGCCAGGATTAGAATCCAGGTTGGTCTGATTCCACAACTCCTAGTCTCGACCAGCAAGATTAACCTTAACAAATTATGTAGAAGCTGTCATAGTATACCAGGTTGAATTCATTTAGGGCCACTCCTCAAGTTAGGAGCAGTGTGTACTAAGCAGCTTTGAAGGAACTGAGATTCAAATTTGGATTTCAGCATAAATTACCTGACATTTGAGCCCAGGCTTCCCCACCATAAAGTTGTGATAATGGTATGCCTGTTTTGCATGGTTATCACAATGGTTAGATTTAACCTGTACAATGGTTGGTGTAGAAAAAGCTGTAGCTATTATGTTGTTATTTCATGTATATCCAGATATAACTTTTGTAATTAACCCACCAATGGCCTTAAGCAGTGCTGTTTAGACTGGAGTTTGGGGCTCCCTAGGGTTCTATTAATATATTTTTGGGGGATCTGCAAGTTCTTAAGTTTGAAAAACTGAGCTAAAGCATTCCTGTATTGTGGACACACACAGTTACTTCCACTGATTTCTGAAGCAAAAATAAAATAGGAGAAAATACTACCTACTTAGAAAAATAATGAGTTCTCTTACACAACAGCTATATGTACTACTCACACCTGCGTAAATAAAGGAATACAAGATGGAGAGAGAGGTCACCAGAGGAAACACAGCCCACACAAGGAGGCTCAAGGCAAATATTCCACATGTAGATGCAACATGGATAATGCCTCTGACACCACACACATGGTGCTTCATGATAGGACAGGTTTTGGAGAGCCAAATACATATAATCTCTCGCCTCCTTGGCTGGCAATGTAAGCTATGCTTTCCCACTAAGGTTCATCGCTGGGGCTTTGGAAATAGTACAGTGGGAAGCAAGGTACCGTCATCTCCTTTCCAAAAAAAGGTAAATGAGCTTACTCAGAAATGTACTGCAGAAATGCCAACTTCGTGACAGTTTCTTACATATACATTTATATATACTTTTTACATTTCCTGCTTTGTAAAAATAAAAGATAAGAAATAAGAATCAATGAATATTTTCCCAGTGGAAGGGATGGAATTAAAACATCTGAAATAAAAAATTAACACTGCTATCTTTAAATGAATTTCTTTCCTAGGGACTGTCCAGCTTTTAAAAAAATATCCTAGATAAAGTTTCTATGAGAGCCTGAATGTAAATTAATTTGTCTTTCATCAGATGATGGGAAACAGAAATGCAAGAAAGTTGATGAAGATCATGATTTTCAAAAGCTTAGCCAAATTGGCTGAGGTAGACCTAAATTTCACAATAGTTCATATTTTTCTTCAGGTGGGATCATCCTAGCAATGCTCGAATGTGCCATCTCGTTTTAGGGAACCTCCAGTCTTCCCGTAGCTATGCCTGCAGGTGAGTGATTCTGGTGTTGCCGACCAGCTTTTCCTTGAGGTCTAAGCTAGCCTGCCTTTCCCCTTCCCCCGCATTGTTTGGGGAAATCATTAACTTGTGCTCAGTAAGACCTTGAAGTTCCTCATCATGGGACAAGCTGCACGGACTTCCACGTGAGAAGCAGTTTGATTGCAAACCAGGATCTGCAATTCCTAGGGGCTGCCCTCATAGAATTTTAATTGGGGGCTGTTTGAAATTCCCTTTGGCTTTCTCTGTGCACACCCCATCACTGCGCATGAGTTATGTTACCTATAGTCAGTTCCGTAGGCCTCTCGTGTTCCTTAGCTGCTACTGTTGTGATACAACTTCTTGGTATCTTTTTAAAGCACTCATCAGGAAGACCTTAGGGTGAGTTTTGTGCACCCCATATACCTTTTTATTTTAAGCCACACTATTTCAAGTGTATCCTTCAAATACAGTTAAATTCAGTTTTGAAGTTTTAGCTGCACTGAAAGCCACTTCACTTTGAGGGCCTCCCTAGGACCCCTAAATGCATTTGCATTTTAAGTCAAAACTTCCAAAATTCTCCTTATTTGCTGAAAATCTGTGTAACTATTTTCACATGATATGTTAATAAATGTCATTGTATTCATAGAGATTATTCCAAGAAGATTAAAGGTCATGCTAGCCCATTTGGATCTTGTAAATTGCAAGTGCCCTCAAACTCAGAAAAATTGCAGCAAAATTGGAATGTTTCTCAAATGGCCTAGACACAGTTTTTTTAAAAAAATATGTTTTTTAACTAACGTTTTTACAGAAGTTTATAGGGGAAAACACTAGGAGGAATTCAAGCACAAAGCACAGGTATTCGGTGTGTGTGTGAGCGCGCGCGGAAACAAGCATCTATGAAAGTGCCTCTCTGCACTTATGAGAATGGATCACAGATGATCTGCTATCTCCAATCTTTAAAAACAGCCCTCTACATATGAATGTCCTCTGAAGGGCACTGCGCCCTCCGGAATTAAGGAAGCCCATAATTCTTCCAACTACTAGAGCCCTTATCTCCTAAGAGAGCTTTTCCTCAGTGCCTCACAGGAATGGCAGGATCACCACTAACGGCATTCCTTATGCAGTAATGAAGCGGTCATAATTTAAAAATCATCTTCTGAATACCAACTTCATGCCCGACACATCTCACGTGTCATCTCAGTTGTCTCTAACCCTCACAGTCCTTCGAGGGAGGAATATATATTCCCAATTTTACACATTTCTGAATTCCTTTTCTTGCTTTGTTTTTCTGTATAGCACTTTCACTTTCTAATATATAATTATTAGTTTTGTTTATTAGATTGTCCTCATTAGAATGTAAACTTCAGTGAGGCAGTTTATTCTTGTCTGTTTATTCACTGATGCTTTCCTGGAATCTAGACTAAATGAGTGAATGAATGATGTGAGACCCAATTGACTAGTGAGTGGCAGAGGTTTGAACCCAGGCCTATGTGCTGTGCTGACACACTAGATGAGCAATGGTACTTGTGAAGATTAGGATCTAGGGCATACTCTAAGGGAGAGAGAATATGCAACATTTAGTGAATGGTTGACTGATGAAGAGTTGTGTGCAAAGAAACCCACTGATGTGTTAAAGGAGCTGGGAAAGCAGCCTAACTTTTGATCTTTGACCCCATCTAGGGGGAAGGAGGCAACAGAAGGCTGGAGAAGGGCTGGAGGAGGCTGGAGAAAGCCAGGAGGTCAAAATTTAAAATGCTGACCTTGAAATTCTTCACATTTGGGCAGGGGAATACCACATGGAGGTGAGTATAGTGTCCACAGCACTCTGTAATCCGTGCATGTGGGCATCCTTAAGAGTCTGTAAAGGGTTTGGATGCACGTCTTGACACTTTCCGTTGCTACTATCTGACCGTGGGCAAATTCCTTAATCTTTGTAAATGGGGATGATTTACATGGGTTTTCTGAAGACTGTCTGAAATTATGCACGTAAACACAGAAACAAGATGGTACCCATCATGTAGTAAGTGATCAGTACACACTGTTATATATATCTATTATATCAGTTTGCTGTGGCTGGAGAACAGGGTGTTTCAAAGGTGACCGGTAGGGAGAAGTCAGAAATGTAGCTGGGTCCATTCTGATAACATTGCTAAAGGATTTTGATCCTGGACTATGAGAACACCTCCTTTGCTTGACAGCTGTATTAGAACGGATTAAATCGGTTAGGATAGCACCTTGGAGGGCTTTGCTGCAGATGAGCCAGTCCAGGCGTGCTGTGAGGCAAGCCTCAAGGGGCATCTGTGGAATGCCAAAACCGTCCCCCCAACCGAGGCCTTTTCACAGGTTCTCAATTCAGAAGGATAAAAAATTAACTCACAACAGCTAATAGCACCCCACCACCATTTTAGGACATTTCATCGTACCCATTTTGTCGTCACAGGGACCATGAAGCAGATAGTTTTATATTAATTATGTCGACGTGGAAGACTGCAACTTAGAACCGCTAGATGATTTAACTAAGGGCGCACACCTAGATAGAAGCTGGATACATAATTCAAACGACTGCCGTCTCACTCCAGAAGCCCTTTACGCAGCATTTCTAGGACTGAGCGGTCAGAACGCCACTTTAGTCAATATGCCAGGGAAGATTGGCATTCCCCTGGCGATAGAGTTCAGAAGCATGGGTAAAACTAGTTTCGATGTGTCCTCCTGAATCTACAGTCATACTCAGGTGGCTGCACTTTTAAAGCAGGCAAAGTGGAAACCCAGCTTCCCTCCCTTTCTCTTCTGTTGGAGGTCCTGGGCTGCACCTCCAAAAGGTTTGCTCTTCCCAGTTCCGCTGCAGGACACCCTGCCTCTTCCCTCACTGTCCCCAGGTCCCAATGACTGAAACGCCTCGGGGTGGGAACTTCTGTGACAGATCGGGGAGGATAGGGGGAGTCAGCTTCAGCGCAGGCCTCCCCCGGCTGAAACTAGAAGATATCCAGTGAAATACAGGAGTTTAGTTCCAAGGGCTGCCCAAAAAAGGTGCGGAGAGGAGCGCGGCAATCCCCACCTTCGTCGAACATGCTCCTCCCGGCGCGGCCTGCCTGCAGCAGAGCTCCAAAATTGGCAACCCGGGCCTCGCAGCCGCCTTTTTTTAGCCTACATTTCCCAAACCAGGGAAGAGGCGGCTGACTAAAAATGCA